TACATTTTCAGAGATGTGCCCTTTTCGAAATTGCATATTGAATTTAAATTCAACATTGAACATTTTTCCGCATATAATTTTTTTTTAACAATCATTATGTTTAATTAACGCGCAAATTATCACAATCAATGTAATATCGAAATTAGATAAATTAATATATCAGATAAACACTAAAATTCCTGTTGTAATAATTTACATAGCTTGTTATGCTCCATGTGGGTACTATAATTTCAGACAAATATTTTGTAAATTTCAGGCTTTTCATTTTACTAGTGGTCTCGCAGTAGTCGAAATTCGACTATAATTAATTGAAATTGTAAGCTTGTACACTATTATGATTCTATTTTCAAAGATTATATTTTCATAAATCACAAATTTCGCCAAGAAAAATATTAATAAAGATAAACAATATTTAATCTATTCTCAATTTGACCACGGACGTCTCAAGAACAAAAGTTTGACAATAAATAAATAGTATGCATGCGTGTGTGCGTCAAATACATGGTAGTGTGTGTAATGTTTTTTTTTATTGATTTAATGTATTTTTTTGGCATAATTTAAAAAAATATTAACATTCTGCACTCCTTCTCTATATTCTCTATAAGTGTGGGAAATTTCATAATCCTCCGACCGCGCAATTTTCGTAAAAAGGGATACAAACATTTTCCTTCATGTATTAATATATAGAAGATATTTTATAAGTCGTCGTGGCCTAAAGGATAAGACGTCGTGTTCGAATCCCGCAGGCGGATACCAATTTTTCTAATGAAATACGTACTCAACAAATGTTCACGATTGACTTCCATGGTGAAGGAATAACATCGTGTAATAAAAATCAAACCCGCAAAATTATAATTTGCGTAATCACAAGTGGTAGGACCTCTTGGGAATCCGCACGGGTAAGTACCACCACCCCGCCTATTTCCGCCGTGAAGTAGTAATGCGTTTCGGTTCGAAGGGTGGGGTAGCCGTTGTAACTATACTGAGACCTTAGAACTTATATCTCAAGATGGGTGGCGCATTTACGTTGAAGATGTTTATGGGCTCCAGTAACCACTTAACACCAGGTGGGCTGTGAGCTCGTCTACCCATCTAAGCAATAAAAAAAAATAAAAAAAGATAGAAGCGCAAACAAGTTGTGAGTTTGGTCACCGTAGTATTCACCCGACGGGCTGGGTCGATTTGTCGGTGGGGTGGGGGATCGCACCTTTTGTTTAGGACACCCCCGGTCCCCCTCCGTTCATTTACTCATGCTACTCTCAATGTTGTTTGCAAACGGTTTAGGTGCCTAAATGTACAGGGAAATGTCACGATTTCACTTTTTTTTTCTTGTTTACTTTCGTAGCTTGCACCGCCGACAGTTTGCAACGAAACGTACTCATCTAGTATGATGTACCATAATTGCTTTTTATTAGTTTAAAAGTACAGAATTTATTTGAGTAAATTGTTTATTAATCAATTTGGTACTTATTGTCAGGTCGCACTAATCATGTATGTCATTAAATGAGGAGACGTGGTTTGGAGATTATGAATTTGATTATCTACTGCGTTGTCTGTGCTTAGCGTTAATTCTAATTTTAACTAAGTTCCTAATCATGGCCGCTGATGGTAGGCCAGAACTGTGTTGTATATGAATTGGTTGTTGGATATTTCTGCCGTGAAGTAGTAATGCGTTTAGGGTTTGAAGGGTGAGGTAGCCGTTGTAACTATACTTGAGACCTTAGAACTTAAGTCTCATGGTGGGTGGCGCATTTACGTTGTGGATGTTTACGGGCTCCAGTAACCACTTAACACCAGGTGGGCTGTGAGCTCGTCACCCAACTAAGCAATAAAAAAAAACACACACACACACGTAAATCTCACAAAGAATGTGTTTGTTTGTAAACATGAACACGTCGCGTGTCAAACTCCGCCTACAGTTAACACGAAAGGTGTCGATTGGCTCGTCCCTGAAGCCTTCTCCATTTAAGTCAAACTAGCGGGCACGCCTCGTCACCGTAACCAGGCAAAGCCGTGGCTAATCAAGAAAAACCTAAATTTTTATATTTTAGAAATTAACGAATCATTTTCTCGACATTAAAGGTACGACACTAAAGTATTATTGATATCTTAGTGATCGTTTTTAGGATTCGTTTAATTATTTGATAAGATTATTGTTTAGATTTAAATTATGGTAGGACCTCTTGTGAGTCCGCACGGGTAGGTACCACCACCCCGTCTATTTCTGCCGTGAAGCAGTAATGCGTTTCGGTTTGAAGGGTGGGGCAGCCGTTGTAACTGAGATATGTATACTGAGACCTTAGAACTTATATCTCAAGGTGGGTGGCGCATTTACGTTGTAGATGTCTATGGGCTCCAGTGACCACTTAACACCAGATGGGCTGTGAGCTCGTCCACCCATCTAAATAAAATAAAAAAGATTTTGAAATAAAAAAAAAAAAAAAACAAAACCTACCTCCGAATCTATATAAGGAATCTAAAATAATTCACGTTGCTCTAACAAATCAAAAACCGTTTGTCATAGCATTTGGCAAGATCAGCGTTGGGGTATAATATTTAGTTTTTTAAATTCTAAAATCGTCATTTCTTGAGTAGCTAGCTTCATATGAGTATCCTATTACTGAATTAACATTTAATTGATAGCCAAGTTGCCATTGATTAGTTAACACTTTTACTACCATCGCTTACTCTTTGTATCATTTATTGAGAAGAAGAATTTCCAAAAAAAATCTAAAACAACACAAAAGCACCAATTTTTTTTTTACGCAACGCAATAATCGAAAAAGGCTACCAACGAACAACAAAAAAAAAAAACATATTATTACACGAAATCGAATTCCCTTTCCGTGCGATATAGCAATGGAGCAGATGCGCCACCAATAACAAAAGCTTAAACATTTGTATTATCAATAAATACTTCTAATTTTACACGGGAACGCAAAGAGGCCGGGCAGACTGAGGATAATACTTAGAAGTGCGGTGATAGACAGTTCTGATAATTTTAATATGGTGAGGCATTGGACCGGCGAATACCCCGTGTAGAGATTGTGTTTCCGTATAGTTTTTTTTTAAATATTGCTTAGATGGTTGGACGAGTTCACAGCCCACCTGGTGTTAAGTGGTCACTGGAGCCCATAGACATCTACGACGTAAATGCGCCATCCACCTCGAAATATATGTTCTAAGGTCTCAGATTTTACAGTACAACGACTGCCCCACCCTTCAAACCGAAACGCATTACTGCTTCACGGCAGAAATAGGAAGGGTGGTGGTACCTACCCGCGCTGACTCATAAGTGGTCCTACCACCAGTACCATAGTTTTGTACAAATTGCTTTTTTTGCATAGATGGGTACTGCCACTACTCACCTAGTGTTACGCGGTTAGCGGAGTTCATAGACATCACGACGGGAATGTCATTACTCATCTCGAGACACGAGGTCGTAGTCTTAATTGTTTTTTATTAATGACCCTTTAAATCCGAAAGCCAGACTGCTTCGCAACGGAAAAAGCCCGATAATGGTACCAGCTTTACAATCAGTAATAACTGGAGTCTGTCTTTGTCATTTGCGTATTTGTGACTTTACACTTGTCGGCACATTTACTATGGTAGGACCTCTTGTGAGTCCACACGGGTAGGTACCACCACCCTGCCTATTTCTGCCATGACGCAGTGATGCGTTTCGGTTTGAAGGATGGGGCAGCCGTTGTAACTATACTGAGACCTTAGAACTCATATCTCAAGGTGAGTGGCCGCATTTACGTTGTAGATGTATATGGGTTCCAGTGACCACTTAGCACCAGGTGGGCTGTCAGCTCGTCCACCCATCAAGCAATAAAAAAAAATCGAAAATATTTTTGCTATAGGTAGTAAGTAATATGTAGTACCTACCGAATGTTCGACTTGCGCTGTAAATAACCTACGTTTATAGAAATAAGATATTTGTAGCACGAATCGTTTCAATAAATGAGTTTATAAGTGACAGTGTGAATCCATCATCCGTGTTCGGATATGAGGTTCGACCTCATGCCTCAAGGTATGTAGAAGAAAGAGCCCAAGCCTATTTGGTGTTAAGAAATTATTGGAGTACATAAGCATCACTACGTCACCCAATTCGAGACACGAGATTGAGGGTTGTTTGAACCTTCAAATCGCCGCTGATATTGATCGTTCTCAAAAAGAGTCGGTGGAGCAAGAGACAAAGAGAGAGATATTCTTTTTTCGCAGCGAATTGCTATTGCCGAGTCAAGGATAGAAGTAACCTAGTCGCGCTGGTGATTCGGTTGATTCTACCGATGGCGCCCCGTAGTCGGTGGCGAAGCTACAGACTTTCTATTACCCATGTTTTGTCCAAGTTACGTTTCGGTGGCGATCTCACATTTGTGTATGAAAGGGATGATAATAAGGTTGATTAATGGGTTTCACTCTCCTACGCGACCAGCACACAGCAACGTCACATGGCGGGATAAAGCTTACGCCTCTTAAAGATAAGCAGATAAAGCTGTGGCTTTATCCTGTGACAACTCTTGTCGTACACCTTGCGGTCAAAATATAGACAGCATTGTATACAATGACTATGCAACTATGGTACCAAATCTGCTTTACAGTTAGCAGAGACACGATGCTAGTAATAATCCTTCCGAGTTCATCACGACCTGTTTTAGTAAATTAAATAAAAATATAAGGGTGAATGGATGTGTTTAACTGGTGGTCGGACCTCTTGTGATTTCTGCCGTGAAGTAGTAATGCGTTTCGGTTTGAAGGGTGGGGCAGCCGTCGTAACTATACTTGAGACCTTAGAACTTATATCTCAAGGTGTGTGGCGCATTTACGTCGTAGATGTCTATGGGCTCCAGTAACCACTTCACACCGGATGGGCTGTGAGCTCGTCCACTCATCTAAGCAATAAAAACAAGTGACTCGACATGGATATAAGTTGCGAAAATGTGATAATAAACTGTTGAATTGAATTTGAAATTGTTGAATTTGTTTAAGATTACCGTATTCAGGCTTGGCGAAGGACACTTCGGAGGTGAAAGGATTGTCAACGTGTTTTCGGTTGTTTGAGTTGCTTGCTGAGTCATCCATCTTGTTCTCGAGAATCTCTTCAAAACAACTCTCCATTTGTAGTTTGTTTATACGTTCTGAAACAGAGGAAATTATTCAACGACATGTTAAAATCTACATTAGCCGTAACATCATAGTTTACAACAAATTGATATAAGAAGTTATGGTGAATTTGTAGTTTGTTAATTTAAAGATGTTTTTTTTTAATAAGTGCATTATTGCAAATCTATACTAATATATAAATCTACAGGGTTTTTACGGATGTTCCGTTATAACTACTGAACCGTGCATCCGATTGACTTGAAACTTGGTATCCATGTAGAAAATACATGTACTTAATGGATAGGCTAATATTTATATGAGTGTTGGACTCCTTAATAACAATGACAATAAATAATAATGTTAATTTTAAATGCCCAGCGAAGCGGGCGAGTACGGCTAGTCGAATTACAAAGTTAAGAGCTTGTGTTGTGATTATTGTCAATTTTATTTTTAATATAACCTTCGATCAATAGTACTATTATTGATCGAAGTTAATAACGATTGAAGGACAACAGGAAAAGCAAGAGGAGCTTTAATAATACAAAAGCATTTTTAATCGATTTACGCTCTTTACCGTTTATAAAGAACTATGACAACTATGCATTTATTACCCTATCTCGCAGCTTTCGTATGTATATACTTATCGATTGATCGCAAGCTTTAGTTTCAAAAGTCAACCTGCGAGCCTGTTTTATAATTTAAATCTAAGTTCAATACGTTTACGGTCTATTTTGTGACGTTCAGGCACAGGAGTATAGGATTTGTCGGTTCGGCGGCGTTGTGTAAAAATGCCGTCTTGTCGCAGGCACGCTGCCCATCCCCGGGCGACATTTTTACACGAGGGGGAAGTGGGGAGGCCAGGCCACCCGCGGACGCTCCCGTCATTTCGTTGTCATCCAGGGGCTCCTTTTTGCGCGTTCACGGCTCGAGCGTTGGCGTCGACAATGCTGTTCAGTATTTTTATTCTTTCCCGAGAAGAAAATACGACGTAAAAAATATACACGAAGAGAAAATCACGAACAATGCAGCCCTTCGGCGAGATTACCGCCATCAGGAAATGAACGTTTCGTTGGATAAGTCCGGCGGAATTTTTCATTTGTTACATAGGTCTTGTCATTCCCCTATTATTCGGAACAACGACAATATATAAAGTAGCTGAACACAACAGCGCATTCACTTTTATTTTGATTAATTACAACCTACAATTTTCCTAATGTTTTTTCAACGTTATTGCCATCTTAGAGATGACTTGTGATAGTTCTTTTGTAATAATACACATTACGATTCACATCTTCACGTTCTTTAGTAAGTTGATTTTAGCTCTGGTTCAAATTTTTTTTTATTTTTTTTTATTATCCATTAACCAGTACTTTTTGCCAGTTTCTATAATAAAATTTGTCATTTACTTCCACGGAACTAACTGAGTAATTTGTTTGTGATTCATTACGAAGCAAAGACAGTAAATAGCTATACCTAGATACATAAGATACTAGAACATTCCAGAAGCCTTCGATTTATCTCCAAAGTCCGAGATTTCGCTAAGTGATTTCGATATGGCGGCGTAACTCAAAGGCTGGTATTAAGTTAAAGCCTTTTGACTGAAATGTAAAGGCGTGCAAACCAAAGCCGCGGTGTAATACGATACTCATACAAATCGGGCGATACCATAAAGCTTTGTCTTACGCCGCTCATCGCCAGCAATCATTGTCAGCTAAATAAAATTAAACGAGAAATATCCTTTCGATAATCAAGATCGTTTTACGTTGTTTGAAAATTTCAATTTGGGAATTAAGAAAGATCTATTTTCGTTGAAGTCAAAATAGCTCGGTAGGCAACGGCTTGGTTCAGACCCTGGCATTATTGAAGTCCATGGGCGATGGTAGCCACTCACCGTGGTGGGCCGTATGCTCGTATGCCTACAAGGGCAATAAAAAAAAGACATTTGTTAATAAAAAATTTCTACTTTTGTTATTGTCAGATACATAAGGAAAAGAAGAAAAAAAAGAATGATACGTAAAATGCCACTAAACACAAATTGGAAAAAAAAGTTTGACACGGAAACTTAAAAGAAAAACATAAGAATATATTTGTGTGTGAAAAAAGCGTGTTTTAAAAAAACAATATGTACCTACTAAACTTTACTAGCCAGTCATTTTTTATTATATTGAGAAGGTACGAATAGGAATGATCAAATAAGAAACTATTATAGCAACTTTTGAAACAGTCCAAATTACCTAATGTACCAAAGATAGCTAAGCTATAGATCCTTTAAGTTTCATAGGCACAAGGAAGCATATTATTTATTACTGATGATTTATATGTCATCTTAGACTTCGTGCTTTCGTTACAAATTTTGCAACGGCTCTCATTTCTTCTGATAAGATTGGTCATTGGGCATCTCAGAGGGCTCTGTAGATTTTTTTTAGCAGTAACTGATCTTAGGACTTGTTTAAGGTTCCGTAATATCCATTTAATGTGCGCTACAGCGGGTAGCGTTATGTGTATGTTTCTAGATCAAAAGGTCTTGAGGTTGTATCCCAAAGTCGTATAAACAGATCTGTAATAAATAATCTGATTTATGGCGAAATCACGATAATCCGTAACTGGATCTACTTTATTCGAACATAAACTATGCGTTTAATGACATCCAAGGTGACTTCGAATTGTCGGGCCCACTATAAAACATTTCCCGACTTTTACGCAAAACATCATAAAATACAGAGCGACGTGGTTTTTTTAAATGGTTCTTTTTTCGAATCCTCAGTTTCCGTGACAGAAGCGAGTTATCGGAAAACGATCGGCTTGTCGTGTCGACCGCGATACCAACCCTTTATCAAGATGGAGAGCATTAGGGATATCGCGGTGCCTTGCGCGAGTCATTACCACAAAAATTATTCAATTATTCATCGCGACAATAAAATCTATAGCTGATTAAAAACGAGTTTTCTTTTCGGTTTTATTTTTGAGACTAGGTTGGTAGCATGGTAACATATTATTGAACAGAGTTCATGAACGTACAAAAGTTGTTTGCGTTTGCAAAAATATTGGCGTCACGAATACATAATTATAATCGAGAATGGAAGGTCGTAGTTTAAAGCTAAAAGGTTGTTGACACGGTATTATTATGTTTTGAGCACGATTCCGTAATTCGATTGGCGAAAATCCGAAGATAATATTTTCTTCTTCTTGAAGTGAGTATTCAAAGAACATACATATTATTATATTCAAAATGAACAATTTTATTTTGAGCACCGCAGTTCGAAAAAAAATATTATGTTTTTTAAAGCAAGTACATTAATGTCCTAAATTCACGACAAATAATTTTTTTTAGACGGATTTGTAACAATAATTATTTTTTGTCGGACAATTTATTTACTTCCTTCATTAGAATAAGTTTTATTGTAACGATACGTTTAAAATTGGTACCTATTAAAATATTCCGTTCTTAGAAAAGTGGAAATATGTATTATATAGTATTAATTTTTGGTAATAAAATACAATTTGAAATATGAATAACTTAATTAATCTTAATATTAAGGTAGGCTGTATTGTAAGCTTGCATTGCGGTACCTACCAGGTATCAAAATAGCACCTATTTTTCCACAAACTAGTAAGGTTTCAAAGGTGAAAAACAATCACACAAAACAATTGAGACTTCGACCCTATATTTTTAGGTGAATATCGCTATTCTATTTGAGATGTCTACGGGCTTCTGTAAGCAGTTACCAACATGCGACCTATGCCTACAATAAAAATAAAGAACAGACTTCCTGTAAATCGTAGGAATATCCGCGTAATACACAATTAGGTCGCTTCAAAGAGAGAAATTGATAACCGATAATTTGAGAACAATCATCACATCAGAACAAAAGGCCACCTCCCGATATCGAATCCGGTACAAAGGTAAGGAAATAGTCAGTTTCAGTAGTACAAAAGGAATAATATTAGGCAACCACAATGGCGCTTTGGGGCCGGGCGAGCTGAATAAAAAACGGATGTGTCAATAATTAACTGTGTGATTCGGGGGCTCGTCGCCGGCGGCCATCGATCCTGTGCTTTATCGAGCCGGTTTATTAAAAAAAAAAAAACATAACGAACATGTATTGTGTGCGGACAAAGGGGCGAAAATCTCGCTGCGAGCTACGGCTTCGCCCAACCGGTTTGTTTTTGTTGGGCGCAGCACTAGGGGTGAAAAATATTACACCCGCGGGCTTATGTGTGAATTGGCCATGTGTTGCGCGCACATAAGCGCACAGATAGTTATCGGGCTCTGCGCCTATCTTGATTTATATTGCATCATTGATTTGCAAACGAATGAAGGGATAGCACGTGTACAATACATTTCAAAATTTAATATGAAATTCGTTATGAAATTGAACAAACTGTACGAAATCAAATAAATACGGAGCATTAACGTTACTGAAATACATATTATAATATATACTAGCTTTGCCCGCGATTTCGTCAGCGTGGAATAGTTACTTTGGCATAACGCTAAATTTTACCTGCGACTTCATTTACGTAGAAAGAAAATTAGCCCCGATTTTGAAACATTCTTTATTGGTGCTCCGTTTGTATTGGTCTTACCGTGATGTTACATAGCCTATAGCCTTCCTCAATAAATGGGCTATCTAACACTGAAATATTTATTTAAATCCGACTAGTAGTTTCTGACATTAGCGCGTTCAAACAAACAAACTCTTCAGCTTTATAATATTACTAGGTGACCTGGCGAACTTTGTTCCGCCTTAGAGGCAATAGGTACCTAAATGGGCAGACTTTAGATTTTATCCAGGTCAATTTTTTTTCAGTTAACCACAGCCTACATTACGTTTAGGTGTCAGTTGCATTTTGTTATTCCATATCAGTTGCGTTTTGTTATACCACGTTTTATGTCAGGTCCCACGGGAACGTGATAAAAAGTATCCTATGTCCTTCTCCTGGTTCTAAGCTATCTCCTCACCAATTTTTTGCCAAATCAGTTCAGCCGTTCTTGAGTTATAAATAGTGTAACTAGCACGACTTTCTTTTATAT